TGAATTGTATCTATAATTATTTGTTTGAGGGAATTTTAAATGCTGATCAGGATGGGCGCTGACAGGTGGATGTCTTATGCTATATGTTTATTTGTTTTTATTTGCTTTTACATTTATTTAGGCCTCGTTTGGGAACAGGCTAATTTAGTAACTCTTTGGCTATTTAGCTAAAAAGGTAGGTAAAAAAAACTTGTATGTTTGGGATGACTTTTTGGCTAATTACGAAAAGATGTGCAAAAAGTAAAGAGAAAAGAGAATCTTTGACTTTTTTGTATGGGTTGTTGGCTTTTCGGCTAATTTAGTAACTTTTTGGCTAATTGGCTAAAATAGCCTCTTGCTAAACGAGGCCTTATTAGCAGCCTATCACTTGTACTATACACGAGATAATTATAGATATTTATATTTGTTTTAGATTTTTTTTTAATATATAAATTATGTTTTTTAAGATTTTTTATAAAAATAATTTATCAATTTTATCACTAACCATAGTGTATGGGAGAAGTTGAAAAGGGTACTGCAATAACTATACACGGATTGTATCTATAATTATTTGTTTGAGAGAATTTTAAATGCCGATCAGGAGATTTTAACCAAATTAATAAATGCAGGTATGTGGAAAGACATGTGGATTGAAAAAAGTTAATAAATGCTGATCAGGGGATTTTGACTAAATCAATAAATGTTGATTTTTTTTTTAAATAAAAAATTTGTAAAATTCAGATTGGGATACTGGAGCTCCCATAGGCCCTGGGGGTTAAAAATCTCATTTTGCTTAATATATAGTACTAGCATATTACCCGTGCTATGCACGGATTATGTTTTCAATTATTTATATATATGAATTGTGATTTTTAAATATTTTTTTTAAATGTCTTCTTTTTTTCGTTTTTTTTATATTGTATTAAAGTTTAATATTTTGATAATTATCATATGTGTTGGACTTTTTAAGGAATTAATATCTTTTTTTTATTATATTATATTAAAGTTTAATATTTTGATAATAATCATATATGTTGGGACTTTTCAAGAAATTCATATGTGTTAAATTTCAAAAAAAAAATTTTATGCTTGTTCTTAATGTATTAAAGTGTTATTATGAGAGTAAGACTTGGAAGTTGGGAAAAGTTAATAAATGCTAAGATTTTTTTTTTAAATCAAAAAATTAAGAAATTTAGATTGAGAGATTGGAACTCCCACAAGGACTTAAAATTAAAAAATCCCTTTTACTTAATATATATAGTATAGATTTTTCTCTATTTTGTAACATTTTGGGTCCTTTTTCGGATCACTCAATGATTTTTTACTTCGGAGGATCTGAACGTGTGCAAAGCTATTAAAAGGGGTAATGCAGTGATACTTAGTCGATGATATTCTAAAAAATCATTTGTCAATAATCTCCAAAAACGATTATTTAATGGACGGACATAGCTGCAAAATCTAGTGAACAAAATTAACTTTTACAAGTTAAAAATTGATAAATACTTGGATACAAAATTTAAAATAAAAAAGCTATAACTAATCCCAATAAATTGCAAACTATTTCTTTCTAAAAGACAGTCTCCATGAAATTTTGTAGGGAATTATGGTAAACTAAAAAGAGGCTTCCCAAGAGGCAACTTTAGTTGACTAGGAGACCCAAATTGCACAAAAATGCATAATTAACAAATTTCTTGAAGGTTTCACGTGATGGTGATAGCGATGAGTTGAATGTGTATCTTATTATCACTTTCACGGATGGTTAAGTTGCCAATTAATTGTTGAATGGGTGCTTGGTCTATTTCAAGTTGTCTACAGCTTTGTTAAAATAAATTATTTGCTTAGTGGGAGATTAAGAAAGTAACAATCAAAACTTAAAAAGTGTGAAGTTAATTTGATCGGGGAAAATAGGAAAGTGATGGGTTTAAGAAATCCTAAAATGCAAGTGGGACATTATTTTATAAAAAAATTTCGTAAAGAAAGAAAGAGAAAATGAGAGAAATCAATGCATATTGGAAAATAAGATGTTCGGATGTATACAAGGAAAATAAAATGAAGAAAAAGTAAAGATAATAAAAGGATAGAAGAAAAAAAAATTAAATTGTTGCAATTTGATAGTACATAATAGGGGTAAATCAAACCATTTCTTAGAACTAAAAAATGTCAATTAATTTATTTAAGTTGATTTTTTTGAAATTTAATTATTATATGTTCAATTTAAATTTTGTATCTCTAAAAAAAAAAAATTGTATTAAAAGAAGAGAAAAGATGTTCAATGAATGTCTGCACAATCATTAACTTACACAAACGTATAACTCTTGCAAATAAATAATTTAGATCGAGGCCTATGTCATGTATTCACATTCGATTGATCTTATAAAACAAATTTAATTGTCAAAATCAAGTTTAAGTCCCCTTTAAAACAAAAATAAATATAAAATGAGATTATATTTGTTTAAAAGGCATAATTACTCTTACTTTAAGATGATTTGGGTTGGGGGTGCGTGACAGCTGCACACCACCATTTTAGTAAAAAAATAAAAAATTAAATTACACAAAATTTAACAAGACAAACACATTGCAGATAACAAAATATTTAGAAAAATTACAAAACAATCTCAAGATTTGATTATTGTAATAAAATAAATTTTAAATTTTTATTTTTTTAATTTAAATCATAAACTTTTAATTTTCTTTTCAATTTGAACCGTTTATCTATTTTCATTAAGTAATAAATAAATAAATGAGTATTTTAATCATTAATTGAATTGAATAATTAAAGTATTATTTTTTCTTTAATTTTAATTAATGAAAATAAACAAATGGTTTAAATTAAAAATAAATTAAAACATTAAAATTAAAAGTAATAAAATTTTAATAATTACTCCAAATATTTATATGTTTATTATACATGAATGAAGAAAACTCGAAAATTGAGAAAGTTTGGAATTCTTTGTTTGATTTTTAAATATATTTTTTTTTGTTTAATTTGGTTGTTGTAGTTTTATATAAATATATTTGATAGTCATATATTATATTTTTTTTTGTATTATATGGTTGCTATAGGTTATATAATTTGAATTGTTTAAGTGTTTTTATTTCAACATTAGTTTGCTTTTAAAATTTGATTTTACAAAGTGATTTTGAAACAAATAAAAATATTATATAACTTAGTTTTATACAATTTTTTGTCTTAATTTTTTTTTAACTAATCAAACCCATTCAATTATTTATTTATTTAAACTAAACTCATTCAACTAGTAAAACGGATTAGCGAAAATTGGAGTTCATGTTGTGCCAAACGCTCATGCTGTGAGATTCAAGATTTATTTTACTATAATGGTCAAATGCTGAAGTTTTTTTTTTATTATTATAATTTCTTTTAGCAATTTTGTTGCCTTACATGTATTTCTATTTTGTGTAACTTATTATTTTTTTAAAATTTTTATATATACATTAAAGCAGTGTCGTGCAGCTGTCATAGCATCACGCACCTTCAACCTATTTTTAGTTTGGATTTTTAGGATTCATTTTTTAGAAAATTAAGTATGTTTGGTTTATGTTTGAGAGATGTGTTTTAGAGATAAAAAGTACGAAAAGTTGTTTGGTTTGGTTTTTTTCAAAAGATGTTTTGAAAAATTATTTTGAGAGAGAATTTTGGAAAAAGTGATTGATTTGATGTGTATGAGAGAGAGATTTGTTTGGAAAACTTGTAAACCAAACAAGTTTTCCAAACAAATCTCTCTCACACACACATCAAATCAATCACTTTTTCCAAAATTCTCTCTCAAAATAATTTTTCAAAACATCTTTTGAAAAAAACCAAACCAAACAACTTTTCGTACTTTTTATCTCTAAAA